TTTGCGTTTCGGCAAATTTTATTCTATATTTGGATTTTGGTTAACGAACAATCATAGACATCACTTTTACAGAAACATATAAATATATTAGTGTAATAGACCCGGCAGCTTGATATTAGGGTTTTTTTTAAGTTGAAACGGTCGTTTTTAGGCGAAGTATACGTACTATGTATAGTGGTATTGAAAGATACCATTCATCAAAAGAATTTTAGAAACTCAAGGATCATTGCTGCAAGAAAGGCAACCTATGCACTAATGGGAGCCGGCCTGAACGGCCTGAATGATAAAACCCCACTGTATCTACCCATATTACCCGTATATTTATAATACCAAGACTCATACATGGGCTTGAAGTACTAGTAGTTAGAATAATGGTTAGTGACACAAAAGCACCGTCATCTTATTTTAAACAATTACTGAAACGTATTCAGCATTTACCAGCTGACTCAGCAACTTACCGTATGTCTGGCCAGATGCAAATAGAAGAAGAAATTGATAAGAGAACTTTAACTATGTTCGGAAATATAATTAGAAATCCAGATACAGTGGGGTTTAAACTAGCACAGAGACAATTAGCCGTCAAGGACAAGGATTCAAAAAGCTTGTTTATTTATGTTCAACAGTTGTTGGAGAAATATAACCTACCTTCATCATCGGTACTACTACAAGAACCGCCAGGCAAATTTACATGGAAGACCCTACTATCCAAATCCGTGAAAACATATTGGACAAACAAAACACAATCTGAAGCCCATGAAAAATCGTCTCTTCAATATCTTAACATCGATCAACTAACTTTCGATAATCCAAACCTAGTATGGCAAAGTTCAAAATTTCTCAATTTAGAGGGCAAGCATTAAATGCAGACTAATGCTAGACACTAAATTACTTACTTCAAATCCATAAACAAAGATTCAATAAGAATACGAGGTAGACTCAATCTGTTTATTATGCCATAAAGGCGTTGAAGATAGGAAACATATCTGTTTCAATGTGTCGCTTTAAAAAGTATAAGAAGTTATATAGATACAATGGATAAGCGTTGATTCTTGAAAAAGAAACCATGAGCCCGGAGGGCGAGTGGTTTGTTTTTCATGAATCAACGCTTATCCATTGTATCTATAACTTACACTATTGTGTTAATGTCTTTTCAAAATTAAAGCCTTTTCTTAATTAGAAGGTATTGTGAGTGAGTTTAAATAACCATATTATCGTGTCCAACGATGCATTAATAAATCTAAGATCACAATTAATTGGTTAAAAAAATACAAATATAACACAACACGTCTGCCTTTAAAGATCTTTATTTTTTCAGGCATCTGAATATTATGTTTTTACAAAATAAGACATATTCGAACTTATTTCTAATAAAATTGAGAATGCAAATGGGGAATGTGTCATAGAGACAACAACCCGACCAAAGAGCATATATAAAGTATATATAAGTATGTTACCGAAATTTCTAGCAAGAAGCCTAATTCTAGGCACATCACGATTTTCTCGCATTGGAATTTGCGAATAAACATTCATAAAATTATGTAGTAAAACAGATGAAATCATATTATATTTATAAAACAAAAATGGACAATTAGAATGCAATCATTTCGTTTTAAAAATGTGAAATAGCCAATAATACTCCAAAAATAAACGGTAAAACTCGCTTTTATTACAAAAATATCCACAATAACATACAAAAGACGAAAAAAAAACCAATCAACAACAGGAAAACTAAAGAATAGGGACAACAAAGAGAATACATGGTTTCGAACCTAAACCGACAAGTCCCTACCTTTAACCCATTGATCTAAACCATGCTAACCTCGCGGCTACCATCTTATACTATACGATTGCCTATTATGTATATATAAAGGTAAAAGCCCTTTGTGTTCGTTGTACCGATGTATATCATATGTTCATTTATATATATATAATAGACATTTAATTGTAACCCATTGGTAGCCGAGAGGTTTCCTCGATATGTTAATGTCAGTCACACATAACAAATTTCAGGGACTGGTTCGATTCCCAGTGAAGGCATATAGAAATTACAAAAATTGAAGGTAAGTTTTTAAATTAATTCCATTAGTGAACAGAAATCAGTAAATTAGCCAATTCAAACTTAATGAAATTAGGCACACAAAGAAAACAATTGAATATAATTTGGTGAGTCCATTTCAGCGACAGATTTAGGAAGCGTTGATTCTAGAAAAAGAATCCACGGTAAATGAATAGGCTGACGTCACGACAATGGTTTAAGTCCATTTTATTATACCTCAGTATGTTTTTTCTATATAAAAAAGAATGAAATATTTGTGCTATTTCATTCCACAGACTATTTGCCAGTCAATAGTTTCAAAGACTATTACCCCGGTCAATAGTTTTATAAACATATTTCCCGTACTTTTTCATACTAATTTTTCATTGGACAACCATGACGTCATTGACTATTCTACTTGGATTTGTGCGCTTGGCAACGTTAAACTCTGAGATATCGTAAACGGTATAATCTGTATGTGTCTGTCGTCGTAATTTCAAATTAATATATTACTTACCAGAAGCAAGTAAAACAAGAAAAAGAAAATCTACGTGACATTTGTTAAGAACTAAAACATAACAAATGTATGATATGGGTCTGTCGTCGTCTTCATAATCTGGGATTGCTTTGGTGTACCGTAAAATATTTTAGCTAACTAAGCGTTTATTATATGCAAGGGATTTTTTTTCACAAGGATTCCTGGTCTTGATTACAGTAAATAAATATTGGCAAATACCACACGGTAAAAAAAACCCTAATAGTTCATCTTGTGCATGTTTATGTGACTATTTGTTTTTTTCCAAGTGGTGTATGTAGACTTTTTAGAAAGTTGTTTTGTTTGGTATAATAAAACACTTAATGACTGGTTATGAGTGTAATAGCAAGTTTGTTGACCCTTTGATACTAACTATTGCCCTCGGCTTCGCCTCGGGCAATATTTGGTATCTCAGGGACAACAAACTTGCTATTACCCTCATAACCAGTCAATAGGTGTATACCATTACACGAAAAAACCACTGAGGTGCTAAAAGATGTAAACCTCACTATGCAATTTTAGAACAGCCAGATGAATTGTTATCCTGTACATCTAGACATGAAGAATTTGAGGCAGTGAACAGAGGCTTGTGCTTTGCACTACATATTGAGAGGAGTAACAAGATTAAGACTTTACAACAACAGAATTTTTTCTAACAGAAGTGCGAAATGGTGTCACAAGGTGACAGGAACATTAGTTTTAAATATATAGTGAAAGTATACATAGGGTTACAGTGAGAGTGACGGAGGATTATAGATCTCATTAGAGGGATTTTGAAATATATATCTTCTAGGAATTTATGTTTTTATTAATTGCTATCTCCCTCGATGATTAGATGGTGTTTCAGTTCATATCTAAAGAACAGTAGTGGACTTTTTATGTTATGTATTCAACGTAAAAATAAGGAGATGAGGTATAATTGCCAATGAGACAACTATCCACCAAAGTTCAAATAAAGTGGATGTAAGCAATTATAGGCAACCTTACGGCCTTCAACGATGAGAAAAACCCATACCGTATGGTCGGCTATGAAAGGCCCCGACATGAAAAATATGAAACAATTCAATTGAGAAAACAATAAACAAAAAACAAATATGACAGACATGAACTAACGACAGCATCTGAACTACAGACTCCTGACTTGAGACAGGCACATAAAGAATGTGGCGGGGTTAAACATGTTTGTAAGCGCTCAGCCCTCCCATAACCTGTGACAGTTGTGTAACAGCACAACACAAGAACAAACTATAAAAATCAGTTGCAAAAGGCTTAACTCATCAGATCGATACAAAGCAGAAAAATATCAAACATAAACACAGACCGGACGTGGCAGGGTATTTTTCCTTCCCTCATCCCTAACAACAAAAAGGACAGATCCTCACAGACAGACAGATCTGAGAGTACTCACAGTTACTGACAGCTAGCTCAAGACCAATAACAACTAATAAAAAATCATGTATCTAAGATTAAAATATCAATCAGTACACATCCAACATCCAAGGGATTTAGTGTACGCGTCATTAACAGTCTGATAAAACATGACCTTGTGCAATGCCAAAATAAAGAATCGACGAATGTAGTACCGTTAAATTGCATATGCATGTGTATAACAAAATTATTGGCATGATTTTAATTTACTGATAACAAAATCAATATTCATACCAATAAAAACAATATTCAAAGATCTAGTTACAGTGTTGAATTGGTAACCTTTTAGAATAAGTTTAAAGGATTGATAAGTTTACCCGGATCGTATATAAACTTCCGGGATCTGTAAACACCATCGCCGTAAAATTTAGGATGTGCTATTCCGTCTGAAATGAGGCTCCTCATGGGGTGTCCAAGTAATCACATAATCACAATTTTTTTGCCAATATAATCACATAATCATTAATTATTTTTTTAACAAGATAAGTCAAATAATCAAAAATACAGTCCTAGATTATCAAATAATCAAATAATCATGAAATATTTGGCCGGGTAATAAAATAATCACTATAAAAACGGCCAAGTAATCACATAATCAAAAACCCCATGAGGAGGCTCTGAAACTTTTTTACAGGTACAACTAAACTTGTAAACCAAATCTATGGAAGAATTTAGTAAAGGTTTTAAGTAATTTGTTGTAATTTACGCTCATTGAAATCAAAACGTCACTACAGACTGAGACTTCTATAACTACTTCGATCTGTGTCTCAGCTACAAACACGCCGGGCATTATGGTTCTCCAACTTAGTGGAGGAATAGTACTATAACAGAACAGAACAGAATAGTGGTATTTCGAATTTTTATGAAAGTTAGAACTACTTTAAATATCGAAAACGACATATGTTTAATAACTCCAGAGAATAGATACACTCAATAAAATGAATGATTCGGACAGAGTTACGTCCCTTGTTCACAGTCTTCATTTTCTGAGGTGAAATATCACATCACCACGTCATTTGGGTTGACAGATTTACTAACACCAAATTTTTACCAATTTATCCCATAATGTAGATACAATATAACATAGGACAGGAGTACACTCATAAATAAAGAGACCACACATCAATGTAAGAACACCACACAAATAATAAAAGTAAAACTTTGAAAGTAAGTACAAAAAGCGTGAGAGTTTGTGACAACATGACATTGTCAACAAAATATATGTACAAATGTACATTGTATTTCGAAAACGTTAAATCGCAATCATGTTGTCATACAAACTCCAGTTTCTAAATTTTGCTCACAAAACTGATGTGTAAATGATATTCAACTTTAGACCTTATAATTGAAGAGGAAAAATGAGTGTAAAGCAGTCAACCTGAAATTCATGAAAGGACTGTTGCCAGTGTTGGACATTTATAATCCCTATTGGGATTCTGAGTCCTGAGCGATTTTCTGATTTGGCCCCCTCACAATCCCTTATCAAGCCCTATCAAGTCTGTTCAGGGAAATTTTTACCAACTTCCTCTCCTCAAACCAGTGCCTTTTATGCTAACAGTAACATCACCATTCAGTACATCCGGAGCAGGGAAGCAAGTTAACTCGTACCATTGTAAACTTGTACCACGTAAACTTGTACCAAAAATGTTAACTCGTACCAACGTAAACTCGTACCACTGGTAAGTCGTACCAATCAGAACTTGTACCACTGCAAACTCGTACCATTAAAAATATATTCAAAAATACGAATGTTTTATGATTTTTTTTTTGGTAAACTTAATAAAAAAAGTTGAATTACTTGAATTTTATACTAGATTTTATTTTATGATTATTTTTTTTTAAGCTTTATACAAAAAATTAAATTATCTTTGAATTTTATACCAGATTTTAATGAAAACTTAGACAAAAATCAACTTGTTTAATCATATTATTAAATGAAATTCCTGATTATCAAAACATAAGCTGACATGAGTTGTCTCAAAGCCCACTTTCCTCATAAAATAGGGCATGTTTGTGAGGTTTCTCATAACCACAATGGAAGACGACAATTGTATATGGTGCCACTCTCTGGTTAGACCCTGACAAGAAGCAATAGAGTGTGATGTATGTTCTAAATGGCAACACAGAAAGTGCGGAAATATAGGTAGCTACAAATTGGTCATTGTAATTTCAAATTATATACATTTTACAGACTTAAGAGGTATCGAGTGAAATTAAAGTATATATTCATCATTAAACACCATTTGAATGCATTTAAATAAGTTGGTACGAGTTTACAATGGTATGAATTTACCGTGGTACGAGTTAGCAGTGGTACGAGTTTGCATTGGTACGAGTTGACATTGGTACGAGTTTACAATGGTACGAGATAACTATAATTCCGGAGCAGATAAGATTTGAATAGACCTTATGTGTATTTTGGAATCTGTGATGCTTGACACGAGAATCGGCGACACTTGAACTAATGTCGTTATACAACCATCATATTTCCATTGTGGCGTCAGACATTTTCAATTATTACGTCAAAATTTTACAGGAACTTTTGTGATGTCCAGTAATGGCGGACAATTAGCGATAAGATGTATAGAAGAGATATTAGCCTTTCAGAATCCGTTGAAATATTGAAAATACCTTACCATAAACGATAGTTATAGATCCACTTTGTAAAAAATATTATTTTGTTGTTCATATTTGCTGCCATATTGTTTTGTGACTTTTCTCTAAATTGAGTACGAAAAAACTAAACCAAAAAATCGTAATGGAAAAATCTTATTTCCCGGATATTGATAGTCAACGGCTACGGAAAATCAGTTTGTTGAAAAACTTGAAATGATAACAAAATAGTGGAATTTTTCAGAAAAATGGATCTATAACTACCTTTTAAAGGCTGATTACGCTGCTATTTAATTCTTTCCTGCTTTGGGTGTATGGAATGGTGATGTAAGCATAGAAGACACAAGTTTGGGTAGAGTTAGTTGGTAAAAAATTTTCTGAATAGACTTACTAGGGCTTGATAAGGGATTCTGAGGGTGCCAAATCAGAAAATTGTTAAAGACTCAGAATCCCAAAAGGGATATCGATCAGGACATTTGAGAATCAAGGATGTATATTCTGTATCCTGTATTTAGTGCATGCAGCATGATGCTATGTAAATATAAACACAAAAACAGATGTTTTCAAAAAATTTCAAGATTTTCAATAAAAAAGACCAGAATTATGAAATTTTTATAACTCTTTTCAAAAACAGAATTATCTAAATCATATCTTTTCTACTATTTTATATAAAAAATCAAATTTCACGATTTTCAATATAGTAAATCTTGAATTTATAAAGAGTCAGCGGGTACAACATTGTACACCTGTAGTTGTTTACACCTTGTCCTTTGGTCTCTGGTAATTAGTTGGTCTGATTGGCAATAATACCATATCCTTATTTTTATATTTTAAAAGATGACTGATAAAAAAGACCAGAATTATGAAATTTTTATTAACTCTAGATCATATCTTTTCTACTATTTAATTTTATATAAAAAATCAAGGCAAAATTACAGAGCTGTTTACTTGTCTATAATATGCTTAAAGGTAAGCAGACGAAAATCTATGGTTAACCTCCAATCGGGGAAAATAAACATGTTTTTTCCTGAAATTGGTATAAAATATAGTTGATCAGGGTTAAAGGACGCTTGTATTATTGAAATCATCATTGTTTAAAGGGCTTTACCAAAAACGTAGTATAACATCCAGTGTGAGGAATTTCTTCAGATGAATTAGACGGTCTTCTTAATGACAATTGAAATGAATTTGTTTTTTGTAGTTTTGAAATGCCATCAAAAAGATGACACACTAGCTCCCAAAAGAGAGATCAAATACATGCAGAAGAAAAAAGAATTGTTAGGTTCCTTATGGCTGTGTTTAACATCTTCAAATAGGGGAGAGCACATAGTCAAATGCACAACTTCAATTGCATTCACACAGGTTAAATGAGATGCTTTTGGCTTTGTGTCAAACATAGTAGGTGGTCACCACTTAACACTGCAAAATACCATCTAACACATCATAATATATTGTTTTATCTTTATTTATATAATTGAAATACCTTCTGAACGAGGATGAATAGTATTTGTCTTGCCTGCGACAAAGGCGCAGAAAGCGAGAAATAGGGATTGCTTTTCCAGCTCCGGCATTGACAATTGTTAAGTTTTTTGCTTAAATTAGTTTGATAGGAACTACTTGTGATAGATCATTGATATTTAATATAAAGTTGCATTACTATCAGTACATATCAGTTTGATGACTATTTTGAGGCCCTGCCCCCTAGGACATGGTCCAGTGACCTAGAATTAATTAGCAATTTTCAATGATAAGTTTTCTGCTTCAGTTAGTTTGATAGGATCTACTTGTGATAGATCAATGATATTTTGTATGAAGTTGCATTACTATCAGTACATATCAGTTTGAAGACTATTTTGAGGCCCTGTCCCCTAGGACATGGTCCAGTGACTTTGAATTAACTGGTAATTTTCAATGCTAAGTTCTCTGCTTAAGTTAGTTTGATACATGTGATAGGATCTACTTGTGATAGATCAATGATATTTTGTAAGAAATCGCATTACTATGAGTAAATATCGGTTTGAGGACTATTTTGAGGCCCTGCCCTCTAGGTCATGGTCCTGTGACTTTGAATTAATTAGCAATTTTCAATGTTCAGTTTTCTGCTTAAGTTAGTTTGATAGGATCTACTTGTGATAGATCAATGATATTTTGTATGAAGTTGCATTACTATCAGTTCACAGGGCTCGACAATAACGCTTGTCCGATTGTCTGGTACTAGAGGAGAAAAAAGGTCGGACAAATAAAAGCCATATCAAGCTTGTCCAACAGGACAAGTAAAATCATTCTGTAGAAAATAAATTAAATCCAACTTTGATGATCAAAGTAATAAACTAAAATCAAGAAAAGAAGATAAAAACTAACATTTATTTGACATGTTTACTTGCGATCGATAATTTAAAACTGGTTCTTTGTCAGATACTTTATAACAGACAAAGCATACTATTCTCCGAAACCAGTATTACCGATCTCCGAAATCAGTATTACCAATCGGAATCAGCCATGCGATGCGCTTTGAAGATAAGGTAACAAGACAGTTCTGCACCAGCATGGAAGAATACAGAATCCACTCCATGTTTAATAGACAGTTTGGCACCGTAGGAGACATTTCAGGACCAAGACAAACCACAGGGTAGCAGATTTAAATTTGTTTATCAATGTTATTCCAATCTTTTTTTTTCGTTTATTATTAACCTTGGCATCAATATTTCTTTGTTTTCTAGCAATGTGCAGTTTACTATCCATATCTGTATACTGAAAAATTTGGATAGTTAACTGCTAATTGCTAGAAAACAAAAAGAATATTGGTGCCAACATTTAAAACGTTAATAAAGTAATACAAATAGACAGGAAATACGGAAAAAAGATTTGAAAAACATTGATAAACAAAATACTAATCTGCTAACCAAGTCCCTGTGAGACAAACCAGTACCTCGTTTCCCTTCCTTATTCGATTGCTTTATGATAAATATGATAAATCTTATTAAAAAAAAATATTTTAAAAATAAAAATGAAGAAATTATTGACCATAAAAATCATAAAATCATATTTTATCATATGTAGACAAAACAATACTTGATTGTGTTTGAAAAAAACATATTAATATATTAAAACAAAGCTGATTAAAGTAAGGTATTAATCATATAATCAATATTTTAGCAACATAAAAGACCAGGATACAAACCAAATGAGTGTACTAGACTAATAGGCCTACCAGACTGTGCCTCATGTGTAGAGTCTGATGAGACTTTGGCATTGATGAAAACTAGAACCTGACATGACTAGATTCAGTTGTTCTCGACTCATATTTTTGAAAAGGATATCAAGAGATATAAATCAATTTCTGTTCTGTTGTTTTAATTCATCAACTTAAAATGCAAAAAAGGGTAATATTAAGAATTTTTTTTTGGACAAGTTACAATTCCATTCGGACAAGTAAGTTTTGGTATGTACTTGTCCTATTGGACAAGTTGAAAAAAAAGTTATTGTAGAGGCCTAGTTCATATCAGTTTGATGACTTTTTGAGGCCCTGCCTCCTAGGTCATGGTCAGTGACTTTGAATTAATTAGCAATTTTCAATGTTAAGCTTTTCTGCTTTAGTCAGTTTGATAAGAACTACTTGTGATAGATCTATGATATTTTGTATAAAGTTGCATTACTATCAGTGCATATCTGTTATCAGTTTGAAGACTATTTTTAGGCCTGACCCCTAGGACATGATCCAGTGACTTTGAATTAATTAGTAATTTTCAATGTTAAGCTTTTTTGCTTAAGTTATATATTGATAGGAACTACTTCCAATAAACAACGATATTTTCTATAAAGTTACATTATTGTCTGAACATCTCAGTTTGTTGACCATTTTCAGGCCCTGATCATGGTCCAGTGACTGAATTAATAAGCAATGTTGCTGTCCATCAGGTTGTCTTTTTCTGAATTTTATGCTGATAGGCGAGACATATCTCTGTGTCAACAGTTTATATACATATATGTATAATGTACAAATTAATAACCAAAAAGGACTTTTTTCAAATTTTGATTCTCAACTATAATGCAAATAGATATATGAAAAAAAGTATGAAAGGATTACATTTTATGCAATTCAATATATTTTATCATTTTATTGGTACATATTAGAATAACTAATGTTTTCCTTAGGGTTTAGTTGTTTTTTTTGGATGTTCAGTGGTGTGTGGTGGTTTCGGGTGGTGAAAAGACTGACATCTCAAATGTTAACAGCTCTGAGAATGTAGAAAATGGCTTTCAATTTTCAAAAAATTTCTTGGGGGTTTATGCCCCTATAACCCCTAGTAGTTTCAGGTTCTACTGACACATACCACAAAATACTGACAGAAAGCATCCAGACTACTGGTGGTGTGCACAAGTGGTAAACAGCTCTGGAAATATTTTCAAAATTTATTAGATCGCAAAAGCATTTCCATGGAAAGGGCTAATAAAACTGGTGGGACTTGTGAAAAGTAGAGTGTAAAATGTGGCACTCCAATTAAAGATGGTATGATTAGGGGTTTATTGGAGCTAAAATCAAATATATGTAATTTAACATAATGGAATGCATGGGAGGGGGAGGGGAGTGTCTACAGTAACAATTGACTGTGACTTCTGATATATATGTAGGAACAAGCACCTCCATTTAAATAACTTGTGGAACAATAATACACATCTACAATTGTTTAACTGATTGATCTTAAATTCAAAATTTGTTTCATTTTAACAGAATGGTTTCAGTTATGAAAAGACCAAAAAATGGAATATACATCATACAAGGAGAGATATCGTTGGTTGTCACTGCCATGCGTAGAAGTGCTAGATGGGGACAACATACCCATCAGGTAAGAACAAATATTGATATGAAATTTATTAAATGTACATGCATAAAACATTGAGATGAAATAGAATTAGTCATTTATTGAAAAACAATGCTAGAAATTATTATAAGCATAGCTATAGTACATGTACATGAATATTTTGACTTTTAAATTAGGTGTACTAATAACCAAAGCATATCACCTATAGTTTTCTCACTTAATCATGTTGATGGGTATGTTCACAAATGGTTTATGATAAAAATAATTTATTATACCTCAGTATGTTTTTTCTATATAAAAAAGAATTCCAAAGACTATTTGTCAGTCAATAGTTTCAAAGACTATTACCCCGGTCATTAGTTTTATAAACATATTTCCTGTACTTTTCATACTAATTTTTCATTGGACAACAATGACGTCATTGACTATTCTGCTTGGATTTGTGAGCTTGGCAACGTTAAACTCTGAAATATCGTAAACGGTATAATCTGTATGTGTCTGTCATCTTTATTTCAAATTAATATATTACTTGCCAGAAGCAATTAAAAAAGAAAAAGCAATTCTACTTGACATATTTTAAGAACTAAAACATAACAAATGTATGGTATGGGGGTGTAGTCGTCTTCATAATCTGCGATTGCTTTGGTTTACGGTAATATATGATATCTAGCGTTTATCATATGCACCGGAATTTTTACACAAGGATTCCTGGTCTTGATTACAGTAAATAAATTATTGACAAATACCACGTGAGCAAAACAAAACATGATAGTTCACCTTGTGCATGTTTATGTGACTATTTGGGATTTTTTCCCAAGTGGTGTATGTAGCCTTTTTAGAATGTTGTTTTGTTTGGTATAATAAAACACTTAATGACTGGTTATGAGTGTTATAGCAAGTGTGTTGTTCCTTTGAAACTAACTATTGCCCTCGGCTTCACCTCAAGCAATAGTTGGTATCTCAGGGACAACAAACTTGCTATAACCCTCATAACCAGTCAATAGGTGTATACTATTTCATTATTATGTCACATATTGGTTAACATACATATTATACAATAACATTAAAACATACACAGAACAATCAATACCCAGCCATACCATCTTGGCTTATGAGACATATGGCACAAAATATAAACATGTTCTTAACAATTCAACGATGCTTTGCAATTCTATTTTTAAACAAATAATTATGATTTAAGAGTATTTTCAACGAATAAAATGAAAGAAAAAAAAATAAATGGAAAAAATTGGTAAACAAAAATATTTACTTTACATTTATTTAAAACTTCAGACATAAATGAAAATATTTACGTTAAGATATATCATGATAAACTAACATGATAATGTAAATAAGCAAAATTAATTGAAATAATTTATTCACGATTCAAAATTTATGTAAACAATTGACATCGCATGAAAAACTTATAAATAGTTTTACATCAACATGATAAAAATGATTGAATCTCGAAGCAGTTCATGATAATAATAACTGGAAAATTTATGGAAATTCAAACTTCTATTTATAATAACATTTTCACAAAAATATTTAGTAACATTTGATATGTACGAAAAAGTGTTTTTGTATAGCCTTTCACATACAAACATGGGAATTCTACACTGAAAATATTCTCTTAGCTATTTCTATATAGTTTTTTTAATATGATATGTCAGCAAAAATGTCATGTTATATGTGTACTGACTGCCCAGTTTTCAATTTCTTTATGTTTTAAAATACCTTTCTGCAGGTCATGTTTAGCAAAAAGAGTCTTGTGTACTTTTGAGTTGTACAGATATGTAGTAACACATTGTATAAATTTTTGGTAGAAGTTAGTCTGTTGAGTCAGATTTGAAAATCTTATGTTAACTGTTTCAGGATGAAGAAGGAGATCCTTTACTTAAAAGTTTTTCCAAGTTGAAAGATTTGTTAAATAGTGTATCAGGTATGTGACTATTGTATTCATGGTATTGTACTCACATTATTTATGACAAAGAAACAACAAAAACATATTATAAATTGTATATGAGATCAAACTCAACAAAATAAAGTAGTCTTGTTTAGACTAGAATTGCAAACTTTATTTCTTTATTTATAAAGACTTTGGTCAAATTTTCTTCCATAAAGCAAGAAAGTTTTTACTGAAGGTAATTTCTTGATTTTCAGTTGTCTGATCAGTTTACTTTTTAAGCAATGTACAACCATTTTCATCTTGATTCACATCTAAAGAAACTTTATATAACTGATTAGATATTTCATCTGATTTAACAGATTTTTTTCTTTGGAAATAAGATATTGTATGAATGAGTATGAATTGAAATATAGAAGAGACACATGTGTATTAAGAACAGTACTGATCAACTTGTACCCTTGGCAACTTACAAGTGTTTGAGGTCTCAAATGTAATTTCATATTAACAAATTTGAATGGAAAATAACAATTAAGTGGTAGGCAATATAGCAATTAAATACTTTAATGGAAAAATTACTAGTTTTAAACTATAATTTTAAGCTTGTTAATTTTTTTTTTACTCTGATTTAACTCTTATTTAGATTTGGAAGAAATTGAACCAAATACATTTTTGAGTCCATTCTTGGAAGTTATCAGGTCAGAGGATACTACAGGACCCATTACTGGACTGGCACTAACCTCAGTAAAGAAATTGATTTCTTATGGACTTCTAGGTAAGTCTTAGTTTAGTATTTGCTAGTTCTAATAGTGGATCATTTAAAGATAAATTTTTCACTAAAGTATGACATTGAAAACTTAGATTTAATTGGAATTTCTTATAATTACTTTGGTGACCGAATATTTATTTTGAACACAGAAATGAATATGGATTCAGAAAGTTCCATTCAATTTCAGTTCTTTTCAATATGCACAGTTGATAACCCTACAAGCTCTTTTGGCTGATTTTAGAAAGAATACAAAATAAACAGTAAGAAAATCCATTAATTAAAGGATGGTGTGTAAAATCTAAGGCATTATGGGCCCTCTATGCATAAATGTTTTAGAGAATATTTTCTTTTTTACTTGCATATACAAAACTTTGAGACACTTAATTTTCTTAAACTGCTCACATTTAATCAGCGGTAGTTTCCGTTTATTTTTACACAAGTATGTCCCTTTTCGTAAATAAAATATTAATTTACCAATGAAAAAAAAACGAGGTCAAAATCAAGTATAGTTTTTTTTATAAAACTTTAATGCAATTGAAAGAATTAACAACAACATTTTGCTTTTTAATCTTTTATTTGTTTCAAGCAATTAGATATTCGTAAAAAGAAAATGCCGTAGACTTATTAAGCATAACGAATGGTGAATAATATTTTCTCTTTTACTTGTATACAAAACTTTGAGACACATAATTTTCTGTAAACTGCTCACATTTATTCAGCTTTGAAGTAGAATTTTGCGTTCTATTCCACATTTTCCACAAAATTTTATAAACCTTTTTCGGTAAACAAGCAAGTCCATTTAGGTAAAGATATTTTTAGATTAGCAAGCAAGAAATACGAAAATATTTTAACTTATTTTTACTGGGCCAGTAACACAAAAATTAAACTTAACCAATATAAAAAGACATTTAAAATTTTACACTTGTTTGACACTTAAACTGGTACAGTAGACTGGAAATATAATTGTTTATTACATCAGGTAATCCAATTACCCTATCAGTCGTGTGCCGGCATAGATTAAAGTAGGATAAGGGCAATTAATTCCTCTGTGTTGGGAGTGAGCTCGCTATCACAATTAACATTTACGCAATTTTGGGAGATATTACTCCTAAATTCCTCCCAACATTTTGGGAGGAATATCAGAGTTTCTCGGAGTGACTCAGAAATTTTCCTTGGTGTAGGGTGTGGGAGAGCTGGTCTGATTGAATGGTACTGTATCATATTTTAGTTGAAATGATTTCTAACCAATAAACTGTACAATCCTTTTGTTAAGTAGCCTTATTAAAAATACAAATGATGAAGGGTAGAATTGAATACTATAAATTCAAAAATTATTGCAATTTTTATTATTTGCAATTTCAGGAAAAGCTGCAAACAGATATATGTTTCAGATATTATTGCGATACTGACCCAGTCACCTTATTCGCATTAATAAAAACCTTGCATTAATGTCTGAATTTACAGTATCTTATGAGCATTTAGAATAAAATTTTGTTTGCATATCTGAGCGATATAATAATAAGATGATATTATATTTGTTGTTAACAGATCCATCAACAGACACTGCAGCTGCTGCCATAGAGAACATAGCTGATGCTGTAACACATGCCAGATTTGTAGGGACAGATCCAGGGTCAGATGAAGTTGTCTTGATGAAAATTCTTTATGTAAGACAAGTTTCTTACTCTTCTCTCAGAAAAATGAACTATTTTGATAAGTTAAAATAGTTTCTGTGTAAGCAAACTTGCAATGAGTATAAAATCATATTCTAGATAGTATGAGGTACAATAAACATCTATTGATCTTTATGATATACAATTGAACCATGATAAGTCCAAGGTAAATGACATAACGGTTCTACTGATCTGAGGTTTTGAGTTATTTTTATATCAAATATCATCATTTTTTCCCCGTTCCAATATTGTACTTTGTATGGTCAACCTGGTGTACGTTTAGGTAGAAAAGAGGTTTTACATTCAATTCAGCTGCATAGATAGTGCCAGAAAATAATGTTATATCTAAAACAAGACAGACTCAATAGTACATAAGTCTTAATAAGATATTGAACTATTTTTGAAACGAAATAAATTGTTGCAGATGCCAGATATATGTATTTAACTTTTTCCTTTGTCACTATCTGTTGAGCTCCAGTCTTAGAAACATACTCTAGTTAACTGTGATTTTGAATCTACTGCAGAAATTGATTTATCAGAGTAGGTAATTCATTGCACAAATTGGAATTTTACTGGACTGAAAAAATACCTCAGCTTAACCAGAGTTTTAGACACATTAATGTCCAACTGCAATTGCATACATTATCTTCAGTATAAATTTAAACTTTTAAAAACATGAAAGAACACCTGTGTATGTTATATAATAATTTAAGTTAAATCGATTAGGTATATGTTTTACTTGATATTCTGTGTATACAATATTAATGTATTAAAGAAGATACGATATAGAGTTGATACTACAAAGTAAAATACCAAAGGATAAAAAACCGATATTCAATACTTGGAAGTCATTACAAAGTCATCTGAAATGATGCACAGATTAATCAAATTATACATAGTCATCCAATAAAAACTTAATAACACACAAAGATAGCCCATTCACAAGATTAACCAATTATAGTTTAAAGAGGGGGAAATATTGATTAAACTATTTTTTGGTTAAAAGAACATGTTAGTTTTCTCAATTGAATTGTTTCATATTTTTCATGTCAGGCCTTTTATAGCCAACTACAAAAATGTATAGGGTATGGGATTTTCTCATTATTGAAGGCCATATGGTTGCCAATAATTGCTTACTTTCACTCCATTTGCACTTTGGTGGATAGTTGTCTCATTGGCAAACATACCACATCTTATTTTTATAAAGCTTTTGAGACAAAAATATTGCATACTGATGTATGTTGTATACAAGTACAATTTTACGGGTTTCTATTTGGTCACAAAACAATTGAAGTATGTTTGTGACTGAGATATGTTGATCTAATTGATAGAATATTGTTTATAGGTACTAGGAGCCTTGTTACTGTCTCCAGCAGGTGTACTATTAACCAATGAATCTGTTTGTGAAATCATGCAGTCCTGTTTCAGAATTTGTTTTGAGATGAGACTTAGTGGTATGTAGACTTTATATAGTATACATCTGGCATCATAGGACAAATAGATAATGTCAATTTTATATAGCCTATGTATTTTGAATGTCCAGACCAAATAGTTGCATATATAATAAGCATGTTAGGAAGCAAACTTTGATATCATAATGAAATATTTCATTTCGAATCTTCTGAAATTATCTCATGGTATTACACTGTTCTTTCCATTTAAATGTGTTCCAGTGAAGGCGGCATGGTTAACAAATATCAGTAGGCACTGGGTATTTTTGTGAATTATACTGCATTACAGTTAAATTGTGGAAGGCTGTTCCATACATGGGTCCAAGGAAATGCACTTCAAAATTTCAACAATTGGTGGGTGTTAATTACTTTTAATACAGTGAAAATGAAAGCAAAATTAAAAAATTGCCTCTTCAGGTGGTTAATGCAATTTATCAAAGTGCCTTCCCTCGGCTCCATGTATTTTTAATGGAACAGTCCTTGTTTCCTTTTAATTTTTTTTTTTTGGTTGACTGTTCAGCAGGGTTTTTTTTCATGTTTGTCTTTTTTAGTAAAACTAATTAATTTACTTTACATTTCAGAGCTTTTAAGGAAATCAGCAGAACATACACTGATGGACATGGTTCAGTTGTTATTTACCAGACTACCACAATTTAAAGAAGATCCTAAATGGGTGGCTAATATGAAAAAGGTTTGTGGTCATTTAAAACTATTATATCTATATGATCATTAAAATTATAAGCTTTGATCAAACTTTTTTTTTATCCTAATTAAAATATTACTTCTATGAAAAAATATTGTATATAAGTAGTACATTTGAACAGCCAGTAGGTCCAAGGACACAGTTATCGTCCTTTGGTTTTCGTTGTCTACGAATATAGTCCCTAGTGTGAACAGTGTATAACTTGCATTTTTTTTTTATACACTTTCCCAATTTATTTCTTGATATTTTATGCATGAAATATTAAGTAAGGGGATGAAATTACATGTTAAAAAAATTTGGGTGCTGAATCTTTATGTTAAGTAGTGATTTGGTCCAGTTAAAAAAGGTCAAAAATTAGAATGTCTGAAGCTGTCAAACTGAATTTTAGCCCCCCTTAACACAGAATTGTCAATATTTTGAGTTAGAGCTGGTAGAAGTTTCTATAATTTTGATATTATTTGTATCAATAGTAGTACACTACACTGTAAAAATCTTTTTGAGATAGAGCAGGTGCGATTTTTTTAATTTGAATTTATTGTCTAAAAGAAATGCACTACGAAATAACTGTGTTCTCGGGCCTAAGAGATGAATTCCGTAAATGTAGATTCTGTACTTTGGCAACTTTCCTGAATGGTTTGCTGGTTTCAATTTGTCAAACTCAATAAAAGTAAAGGATTTACATCTTTGTTTGACAGAAATTCTGTTAAAATGTCCCATTTTGGCATTATACGGCTAAAATAAGCATTTTAAAGCAGTTTCCATTTTATGCCTAAGAGCCATGCTGACTTTCTATCTGACAGCTTTTTATGTTCCTGATATTTGTGTTTCTATGCTTAAATCAAATTTAATTAACCATTTGTGAACTCGGAATCTAGAGAAAAGCAGATTATCACAGAAAAAATGTGCAGAATATTTGTATTTATGTCCCTGGTTAAACGGCCTGTTTGATGTATGTGAAATGTGAAGAGCTTTGTACATAAAAGCTGTAGTCCATCACAAATATTTCACTAAATCTGTAAAAAAAACACTTTACAATGATCAGTACACCCTATTCATTTCATATGCTACCATATTTTTCTTCTTTAGGATAGTAAGTGGTTCAAATATATGACAAATGAGACTAAAACTACATGCAAGTTTTCCATTGAAAAGTGAAAACTGGTCATCAGACCATACTGCCTGCAAAAAAAAGTTGAATTCAAGAGTCTTTTTGCAATTAGACTTCTTGTATCATGACATCTTAGCATAGAAATGAGCAAAAAGTAACAAATTTCAATTTCTTATAGCCTCTGTGTGCATTTTTATATGTAAATATGGGCTACGGCCTAAATCGACTCTAAATAATTTTCAGTCTTACATGGCCTAAGACCATTTTATACTCATGTGGTATGCTTTTTGTAACTTTTCTTTACATTTAAAGTACATTTAATATATATGAAAGAATAATGTATGGTTAAAAAACTTCAAAAACTTCAAATTGGTTGAAAAAAATGCATGTTTATGTAAGGCTTCCCTTAATTCGAAAATCTCTATTTTCAGGCACAGGCTCATATAAATTTGACTTTTGAATAACTGTAATAAATCTGATAAATCAAATGAGTGTTCCGTTGCTTTTAATACTTATTATATCAAATTCAAGAGTATTTAAAAAGCAAATTTTTGCAATATTTAAATTTTTTAGGCCCAAATCTTGACAGTTGAAAATATTTGATTTAAACGTCAAAAATAAACATCCAAATTTCAATATTATAATGGCCCTAGTTTCTATAATATATATCCTATGGCCATGAAACTTGGCCAACTATCTTATAATTGCCTAAGCTTAGGTCATGCAAAGTTTTATTAAAATTGGTCAAGTCTTTCTATCCTATTAGGTCCAAGGACACAGTTATCGTCCTTTGGTTTTCGTTGTCTACGAATATAGTCCCTAGTGTGAACAGTGTATAACTTGCATTTTTTTTTGATACACTTTCCCAATTTATTTCTTGATATTTTATGCATGAAATATTAAGTAAGGGGATGAAATTACATGTTAAAAAAATTTGGGTGCTGAATCTTTATGTTAAGTAGTGATTTGGTCCAGTTAAAAAAGGTCAAAAATTAGAATGTCTGAAGCTGTCAAACTGAATTTTAGCCCCCCTTAACACAGAATTGTCAATATTTTGAGTTAGAGCTGGTAGAAGTTTCTATAATTTTGATATTATTTGTATCAATAGTAGTACACTACACTGTAAAAATCTTTTTGAGATAGAGCAGGTGCGATTTTTTTAATTTGAATTTATTGTCTAAAAGAAATGCACTACGAAATAACTGTGTTCTCGGGCCAGTACCTCATTGATAAAATCTGTCTACTGGCTAAATTAAAAAAAATCCAACATTTTATTGCACCAGGGAGACCAGTGCTTGGAATCCTTTCAATATTTTTAACATTGAAAATATTGAATAGAAAATCAACAGTCCAGATATATATATAGTTGAAGTCCGAAAGATATATCAGTATACATTTTACTTTATGAAATAAACACCAAGTTTAAAAAGGTTTTCAATTTTAAAAACAAAACAAAATTGAAAAGTCTCACACATGCGAATTTCATCTTCAGATTGAAAAAAGAGTTCAAGTATAAGTTTTGCATAATCAGAGTGTCTTAAAATTTGCTAAAGCAAACAAACCTTACTGAAGTTTTCTAGTCATTTTTTAAACTGGACAAAAAAAATAAGCAAAAAATTCATTATAATTTAGTTAAAAATGAGGGCAGGTGGTGTGGATCCATCTAGAATGGGTAGGAAGAAGCGATCGCCAAAACCTCGACCTAGCAGACAAAAATATAATCAAGACATCAGTACATCTACTGGACCATCAGAAACCAGTCACAACACACAAAATACAGATGAGTCAGAGAATGTAGACACCAGCAGTGGACCAATAGATGGTGTAGCTTATGTTAATGCCCCCAGAGAAAGGCTTGCCACCACGCCTGCTACACCAGGGGATGATGGAGTCATTGATATATGTAAACAATTTCAGGTAAAAAAATATAGTGTAATAGGAGAAAACAGTATTTAACTTCCACATGAAACTAAATACACTTTTTATACGACCGCAAACAAATTTTGGGGTCGTATAATGCTATCATGTCGTCGTCGTTGTCCGAAGACATGTGGTTTCCAGACAATAACTTTAGTGGATCTCTATGAAATTTAAACAAAAGGTTCAATACCACAAAAGGAAGGTTGGGATTGTTTTTGGGGGTGATGGTCCCAACAGTTCAGGAATAAGGGGCCCAAAAGGGGCCCAAAACAAGCATTTTTCTAGTTTCAGGACAATAACTTGGGTATAAGTATTGTGATTGCTCTGAAATTGTACCACAAGGTTTAATATCACAAGTAGAAGGTTGGGTCTCATTTTGGGGGTAGTTGCCTAAACCGTCCAGGAATTAGGGGCCAAAAAGGGTCTAAAACAAGCAATTTTTTAATTTTCAGGCAATAACTTGTGTTTAAGTGTGTCGATTTTTCTTAAATTGTGCCACATTTTACAAATAGTAAATTTCTTCAAATGAATATAAATTAATATCATATAACCAATTTTAAGTTCTTTGACTACATTTATTATGTGTCAGAAACCTATAATGTGTCAAATATCTAATTACAATCCAAATTCAGACCTGTATCAAGCTTGAATATTGTGTCCATATTTTGCCCTTACTGTTCAGGGTTGGACCTCTGCGGTCGTATCCAGCTGTGCTAGGCGAAGCATTTTATTATATTTATATATAAAAACACATTTTATTTTATTGTATGATTTTGTTTTAAAATGTTGCCTATATTTAATGCAGGTATGTCAAAATATTCTAGACTATTAGATTGTAAAAAAGTAGTATTCAGCTGGAATTTAATATTAACAGTTCATGGTGCATACTTAACTGTGTCCTCATTCATTTTTAGGTACTAAAAAATTTGCATTTTTAAATAGGAAGCAGCACAAAAGGAAATAGAACAGATGCATAAGTCAAACCTGGAAGAGACAGAGGAAATCTCTACACAGGAGAGTTCATTACAGGGGACATCACTTGAAGATAGTACTGAACAGCCTGTACCATCTGTACCTGTGGTATTATCATTGCCAGAGGATGAGGATATGATGAGGGTATTATTTTTTATTCTAGACAAAAATAATTCAATTAAATCTGAACCATTAAAAGCAGTCTATTAAAATCTTGAAAACAGAGCTCACAGTCAATACAGTGGCCATGCTGAATTTAAGACACGATTGTTGTAATGGTCATGATATTGTCTTGTTGTAGACTTGTGAATCAAAAGTGATATAAAGTACTATGAATCTAATTTTTAAATTTGTTTCCGATAGCTGAGACAAAATTAAAAGTACAATTTAGAGAACTCAAATTTGAAAACTTTTGAGTATAATTGTTTTAGAATGTCTTAAATTTAAAAAAAAATCCAGCATGCTGAACAAGTTTTTAAGCAAAAATCTGGGCCTATTAAATTATGAATTTCATCATATAACAGACCCCTATGAAAAACTGCTAGACACGAGTCCAGAGGCTTACTATATTTTCAAACATTAGCAACTAAGATTACTATCATGCAGTATAACTATGTATAAAAGTGATAATTATGTGACAGTTTTAATGAAATGAGAAATCTTGTTATGTAATAAAGTCTTAATGATTAAAGACTGTCAAATTATTGTTTATAGTTGCTTAATTTGCTCTTTTTTTTAATAATTTTTTTGCAATAATTTGGTTCAAAGAAAGTTAAAAAAATTCCCAAAACAATCATTACTGCTTTAACTTAATTCTCTTTATTTGTGCTTATATTAAAAAAATTATTGCAGAAATCTTCGAGTGAGACTGATCTGTACCAAGAGAATGAGCGAGTAGGTGTGTTACAGTCTGAGATTTGTGATGACTCTGAATCAATACACTCCACAACAGATATGTCTGAGACAGCTTCACAAGATGATTTTATCAATTCACAAGGAGTTAGATTTATGCCTCATTCACATAGTAAAGAAGGTTTGTTTTTTACTATTGATTTTTCATATGCATCTTGTAAAATCAAAAGTTTTTTTGTTTTCTTTTTTCCCCTATTTTTGTTGACAAAAAATATCAAGTTAATAGAAAAGATATTTACGTTCTGGTAGCAATATTTGTATGCACGAATTCCAGAAACATCTTTCCATCTGTTTTGTTCACTTGTCCAGCAATAAGATTGATAAATTTACCCAGTAACATTGCAGTTATTTTCAAAATTAAAATACTCAATACATTAAGTATGTGGTAGAAATGGAAAGAATTCCAATAAAACCTAAATAAACTTAACCACATTTCAATTGTTTGTTTTATTTTGGTATTCAAGTCCTGTTATTGTAATGGACAATGTATTTGTGTGTATTTTAAAATTATATGAACTTGAACATTTGTAGTCAGATATTGAACCATTCTGGCTTTCATTTACTTTAGGGTTATGTTTAGGGCTATAAGTAGTATCAGGGTAAGATGTGGGTAATAGCTTGTTTTAGGGATATAATTAGGGTTAATTTAGTTAGCCCTACATGTATAAGGGCGGAGGCCCCTAAATAAATGATGGCCAACTTTAATCTTCACAAAGTTTTATAATACTTAAAATTCATTGTATTCTACAATTTAAGATTTGATCTTTTTTCAGGATCAGGGCCCCTACTTCCATATGGATTACCATGTGTTAGAGAGTTATTTAGATTCCTTATATCACTGACAAATCCACTAGATAGACACAATACAGATGTGATGATACACATGGGTCTCAGTCTACTGGCCGTGGCATTCGAGTCTGGTGCTGACCATATAGGACAGTATGAATCTCTGCTCTTCTTAGTGAAAGACGAAATGTGTAGACATTTATTTCTAGTAAGTTTATCTTAAGCATAAATTTTAAAAATAATTCCTTTTTTACTGAGAGTTTAATTAACCCTTGATCTAAATACATGAAAATTTTGGTCTGAACACGTGAAAACTTTTATCTGAATACACCAAAACTTTTATCTGAATACATCAAAACTTTTATCTAAATGCATCAAAACTTTTATCTGAATAAATTTTCAATAAAACTTTGATCTGAATACATCAAAACTCTGATCTGAATGCATCAAAATTTTTATCTGAATACAAAAAATGCATCAAAACTTTGACCTGAATACATGAAAACTTTGATCTGAATACATGAAATCTTTGATCTGAATACATAAAAAACTTTGATCTGAATATGTGAAAGTTCTTGAACTAAAAGGAATTGAATTTAAACATTCTTATAGTACATGTGATTTGCATAGAATGATTTACCTTAAATGGTGACAAATATTTTAATCTTTGGCTAACAGAGTTTTCTGTAACTAATTTATTTTGATTATGATGTTGAATGAAAACATATCTATCGCTTATTTGATAAAACTTTCAGCAGTTTTGCATAAGTCATATCAGCAAAATGGACCAATTGGTATTTTGAGAAGTGCTGAATAACTTGTCAGTTTCCCATGCTCGTCAAGAAATTTTAAATACAGCATCATGTCCTTCTTTTGTCTCATTATATGATATATAGCAATGGTATAAAATATAAACATTTCAAAAATCTGTAGAATTTTAAAATAAGCACAACTTCACAACACAGTAGGGACATAAAAAAAAACTCTCAACTTCAGAACAAAACAATACTAAGAGATTTTTAATTTTTCATACAATAAGTATTAAGTAGGGCGTAAGTTCCATACCAGGAAAGACGCCTCCAAAAACAGCAATAATGATAATATCAATGATTAACATTTCAGTTGTTGCAGTCTGAGAGGTTGTCACTGTTTTCTGCTTCCATTAGAGTTTGTTTTCTGGTCTTTGAATCTATCAGGAGTCATCTCAAATTTCAACTAGAGGTAAAGTAATAAAAGGAATTCAAGGAATAAAAAAGATTTTGATAAATAAGATTAAAGCTCTATATATCTTAACAAAGACAACGGTAAGGATTCTGTTTAATAAAAACAACAAGGAAAATCTATTTATACATAAATCTGACTTCTGTATATTGTAGTCTCATTTGTAATGCTATAACTCATGAAAATATTTTATTTATCAAAGGACAGTAACAAACTGTTGTATAAGTTATAAGCATAAGTAGTTTTTATAAGAGTCAGTGACTATTTAAATTTTGTACATCCTCTTGCTTACGGATAAGCAAATATATGTTAATCTTATCTGAATATAAAATAAGGAGATGTTGTATGATTGCCAATGAGAGTCAGCAATAACTATCCAACAGATTTTAAATGAAGAAGAGATTTGTTTTATAGAAATAAAACTTTCTCATATTGAAATTTAGAGAAAAAGTTTCTTGTAAAAAAACAATACAGGGATTAATTGATAATTCGGGTTTAGTAATGTGATTATTTTTTACAGTTACATGTTTTTTTAATTGATTTCCTTACAGATGTATCTGACCAAACTATCTGATATTATTATATCAGAATCTCCAAGGATTATGTATGAGACGAGAGAGATAGCATTAGATGCTATTGTACAGTTGTTTAAGATCCCAGGCATGGTGACAGAATTGTTTATAAATTATGACTGTGATTTATACTGCTCTAATCTGTTTGAAGATACTACAAAGTTGCTGTCCAAGGTAAACCCATATTGTGTTTTGTTTAAATTAGTTATACTTCAATAGCAGTGCAATTAATGGAAATAGAAAGGAGTATCTAAAATATAAGAAATTTTATTATTAACATAAAAATCAATATCATACTGCTTCTAAATTTATCACAAAGTTTTACTGAACAAGTGATTTTTTTGTTTTCGTCATATTATTTTATCTTGTCAACCACATATTCTATGATAAGGTTGTATTAATTTACTCAGATTGGCATTATCATATGTCTTACTGATAAAAAGCAATTAAATTTTCATTATTTTAATTTATACAAGTTACCAACAATGTCAAATAGATAAAAATTCAAAGCACTAGATTACAATTCAGTGGTAGCAATTAACAATTAAATTAACAGTCTCTGGAGAATACACAAAAATCTTCTGACAGTGACTGTACAGTAGTGTCGTCATATTGTGTTCGACGTGGTGGTCCCTCTGGTGTGCTCTCAGTAGATGAAGGAGTGGAGCTGGCAGACTTCATGATCAGGGTAGATAACTCTTGGACTTGGTTCCATTTCTTCTCTCTATATTGGTTGTACATCTTACGGATACCAAGTGTTGTTGACTTTTGAGTCATCAGATGTTTACTGTAACCATGACTACCATTGATGTCTGCTGTAAACAAGTAGTGGTCTAGTTTCTGGATTTTTCCATCTAATAAATTGAGTTGATTAACTGCTTGGTCATGTGCTGTGAGTAAGGTCTTGAGCTGCTGAGCATAGTATAGGACAGTAGAGTATTCCATTATTGTATTGGTAGTATTCAGGTTAGGAGACTTGTGAAGTGATTTGAATAACCTTTCACAAAATATGGTCCTGTATATATATATATCTTTACAATTTACTCAAAATTAAAGTTAGCTTGGGTTGGGCTTGTGTTTGTACTGAAATCTTCTAACTTTTGGTACTTCCATTCAGTTAACATCAAAACATTTTAACCACAAAGCATTAGCTTAATTAGTATAGATAAAAGAGATTAATCAATTCATAATTGAAGATGAAAGAAATTAATCAATTCATGATTAAAGATGAAAGAAATTAATTAAGTAATAATTGAAGGTAAGAGGAATTTGTAAGCAATAATTGAAAGTAAGAGGAATTTGTAAGCAATAATTGAAAGTAAGAGGAATTTGTAAGCAATAATTGAAAGTAAGAGGAATTTGTAAGCAATAATTGAAAGTAAGAGGAATTTGTAAGCAATAATTGAAAGTGAGAGAGATTTGTAAGCAACAATTGAAGATCAATGTAATTTTCATGTAATTATAAATTAAAGAATAATAGAAATTTTTAAATAATAATTTAAAAAATATAAATCAGAAAAATGTAAGACACAAATTATAGAATTGAAAAAAAGTAAGTTTAGCTATAATGGACACCATATGCCATGTACTCCTTTAATTATTTTTTTTAGCATATTCATACTTACAATATTTATATGTTAAAATACAAGACAAACACTCACAGTCACAGAAATTACAAAGGTATTGTAAATCACATTAAAATAAACAATAATTATAGTAAGTTACTTGCCAAATATTAGTATTAGTAATAAACAGTATGTTGGTCAGTCAGTTTGAAACATCATTTCTGGAATTCTGCAATATGTAAATTGTGAAATTATATGACGTATATTGAGAAATGTTTCTTGAACCAAAAAATAACATATAATTGAGATGATATAACCTTTAAAAATGTTTTGATATGAATGCAGGCAGAGGGGGCATGAAATATCATTTTCATGCAGGAAAATCCGGTTTGCTGTCAATCTGACAGCCTCTTGTTTTAAATTTAATATAAGTGAATATATTCAAATTATTTATGAAAAATTTATATAGAACACCCCTATATTGCAAATTCAAAACATCATCAATTTAGATTTTGTTGGTATATAGTGAAAAATAGATGGCGCAAAAATATCCCAATTTACAGTATACCATTGTTTCATATTTACTGTTAAGAGATAAAGATATGTATAGTAGGATACTGATTTAATTCCTTTTTGTAGTACAGTTATTACTTCTAGAGCTAAAAGAATCTTGATAGTGCAACTGGCTCATTTTAATCAATAACTCCAGTTATAAACTTTACTGGATCCCGGAGTGTCTAAGGTTGTGTTGTAACAGTGTCAAGACTTACAAGGCCAGGAGCATATGCATTGTTTTAACTCCACAAAAGAATCAGTCAGTGCCAAATACCTTTTGAATCTGACATGTTTATACCTGTCTGAAAGCTACCATTATCTTGGCTCATAGCTTTACCCAAAATTATTTAGGGTAGTCATTTTCTTTTTATGCCCCCGCCTTAGCGGTGGGGGCATTAAGTTTTACCCTTGTCCGTCTGTACGTACGTCCCAACATTGGTTTCCGTTCTCTAACTTGAGTTTGCCTCAACCAAATGTTATGAAACTTATACACAATGCTTATTACCACAAAACACAGATCAAGTTTGAATTTTGGTGGAGTCACTTTAACCGTTCTAGAGTTATGCCCCTTTATAAATGGAAAAATTGCAAAAAATTTTATTTTCTTCTAAATATCAAGTAATTTTTAAAATTGGAGTTATCTTCCTTTGTCCATGATAATAGTTGAATCAACTACAATCAATGCTTTATACAATGCAATGTTTAATTTTGACTTCCACTGATAAAACACAGATCAAGTTGAATTTGGGTAGTGTCACTTTAACCATTATTGAGTTATGCCCCTTTATAAATCAAAAGATTGCAAAATTTTTAGTTTCCATTCTGTAACTTAAGTTTGCCCCAACCAAACATTATGAAACCTATACACAATATTCATTACCACAAAACTAAGATCAAGTACAAATTTTTTGTTTCCATTTTCTAACTTTAGTTTGCCTCAACCAAATGTTATGAAACTTATACACAATGCTTATTACTACATAATACAGATTAAGTACAAAATAAGGTGGCAACACTTTTACCATTTTTGAGTTATGTCCCTTTATAAATATAAAAATTGCTGAATTTTTTAGTTTGTTTCAACCAAATGTTATAAAACTTATACACAACCGTTCTAGAGTTATGTGTGTTTACAAATAGAAAAATTGCTGAATTTTTAGTTTCTGTTCTCTACTTAAGTTAGCCTAAACCAATTGTTATGAGACTTACACACAATGCTTATTAGATCTTATTACCACAAATCTCAAATCAAGTTCAAATTTGGGTAGCGTCACTTTTACCGTTCTTCAGTTATGTCCCTTTATAACTATATGATATGCAAGCGGGGGCATCTTCTGTGTCCACATGTGGACACTATCCACATTTTATTTAGTTAATTTTGGTTGTTTTTTTTTCTATTTGGTAGAGACGGTGTTGAGTTTTGGTTCTAAAACTTTATCAGTTAACCTGTAAATTACTAATTATCTTTCATGAAAAAGTTTTTTTTATTATCTCCCTTACTAAGCAATTTGTCAGAGAATAGATGCAACGAAAACTATATCAGCTTTACTCTTAAATTTAAATTTATTTAGATTACACCAGTAATATAGCCGTCATAAATTCACATCCAATCTGACGTCTTGACTGACTTAACAGTTCAAGTGGTCATACTTAAACATGAAAATATCAAATGTAGACCATTAAAATTTTAAGTTGTTCCAAAGGAAATAATTTGAAATTGTCTTATTAAAAGAAGTGATCTTAAATTATGACAGGGTGTTATTATATATAATGGAAAAGGGGTATGGTGCCAACATTTTTTTTCAAAAAGGGGAGGGTGTCAAGAAAATGAATCAGGGCTCCATGCCCTCCCAAAACCTCCTGTAGGAAACACTAATACTTTGTAGGATTGTTTGGCATCAAGTGAAGTTGACAATAATGTAGCACCATTTTGATTCAACTATTTTTACTGGAGTTATGGGACTTTGACCAATTCGCATTAACAACTTGTGAACTCATGTGCTCTAAGCCCATTTTATAGAAAGCTCTCATAATTGATGAGATTGTTTTCTATCATGTGTTGTTGGCCATATTGTAGCACCATTTCAATTCAATTATTTGGACAAGAGTAATATGACTTTGACTATTTTTTAAAGTATTGTGCATAAACATTTTGTGAATGCAATTCCTCTGAGGCCATTTGACAGAAATGTGAAAACTTTTATGCTAGGTAGTATTGTTTGTCATCACGTGTAGTTGACCAAATTGTATTGCCTTTTCGATTTGACTATTTTTACAAGAGTTATGGGACTTTGACCTTTTTTTAGTATCGTAACAATAACACCTAGTGAAAGCATGTCCTCTCAGACTGTTTTATAGAAAGCTCTCATTCTTGGTAGGATTGTTTGCTATCATATACAGTTGACCATATAATACTGGCAATTTGATTTGAAGATTTGTATTGGAGTTGTGCTTCTTTTTCCATATTTTGTCTATTGTACCAAAATGACACATTGTAACACAGAATTCAATACCTCATTTATACAGTGCAGGGGATATTTTGTTAGTAGCAGTCTTGTTGAGTACAGCAAAATGTTACTAAGGTATGAAGTTTCTTAAGTAAATACATTCTCATATATTATCACTCTCTTTAAGATATGGGTGTATTAATTTACACAGATGGGATTACTGTACCTCTTAATTCTGGCAGACTGATAAAACTTAATCTTAAAACAATAATTTTTCATTATTTTTATTTATATAAGATGTCAACAATGTCCAACAATTAACAATTAAACAGTACGAAGCACTAGATTACAACATAATGACAACAATTAACAATGAAATTAGCAGTCTCTGGAGAATACACAAAAATCTTCTGACAGTGACTGTACAGTAGTGTCGTTGTCATATTGTGTACGACGTGGTGGTCCCTCTGGTGTGCTCTCAGTAGATGAAGGAGTGGAGTTGGCAGACTTCATAATAAGGGTAGATAACTCTTGGATCTGGTTCCGTTTCTTTTCTCTGTATTGGTTGTACATCTTACGGATACCAAGTGTTGTTGACTTTTGAGTC